GCACAACATGATTGTCGAGGATGAGGGTGGGCCAGCGTGCACACAAGATTTTGAGAACTCTAGAATTCATGTCCGCCTCCCGGAACAAGAGGCAGAGAGCATTGCCAACTTTCTGGGGATGCATCAACAACTGCAAAATCAACGTGTGCATATGCAACTTCTAAATGATCTTGTGGAGCATATGTGAGTCCATACTGAAAATCAGTAAACATTGCTTATAATTTGTCAGTTATACACTATGAACAATATTTATGTTCGAACTATGTTTGGATTATGTATTCTTAACTACAAACAATCTGTATTTGTGTGCACTGAACTATGTTTGGGCAACATGATCCACGTGCATGTGTTTTGCATATATTTGATGTTTATAAGTAGAAATTATGATCGCAAATGGCAATATTTGAAGCTCTGTCCGCCGGCGCGTCCACGGGCGTATAAAAACCTGGATTTAGCCAATTCCGGTTGTAGATGCTTACATCTTCAAAGCTATGCGGGTCAAATAATTACTCGGATCAAATGGTCATCATTTGTCCCTCGATCTATTCGTGGGCATATTGGTTTGAGCTCAGTCTTCAATGACACCCTTATTTCTCCATGGACAATCCACTCCCTATTTCGGCCACAATTGCGAGAAGAAAATTGAGGTCTTTGTTGTGTTTGCCTATCTGCGTCACGCCTGACCGACCCCTTACCTACCCCACCTCAAGAGCATTCCTGAATGGCATTTTCTCAACCTCTCCTCGGCCGACCTTAGGGTGGCGAGGGTCAAGGTGGAAGATGATGGCCCATCCAATGGCTCAGGCTAAATCGACCGAAACATTTTCGGTTTTTAAGCAATGGTTGGCTAGGTGCTCCAATCAGGCCGGTAAGATACAAATTCAACTTGTTTTTTTAACACAGTATAATCAAAACCGTTAATATACATGAGCATACACTCACCCCATGAACGCACGCACGCACACCCAACCCTTATTAGCATCTCCGGAAGAGGCATGTAAGTCCAGAAAAATGTGAGTGCCAATGTCAACTCCAGAACTTGAACTCTGGTGACCGGAGATACCACCATCCAACCAAATAATCCTACATCTACGTAAGGACCTACTTACTCTTACGGAAACTTGTTGACACCTTTTAGTTCACTTAGCAGAAATTCCTCTAAGGTTATCCCCATTCAAACAAAAAAAATCCCATTTATTGTAATTTAACTGGTCCTGTCAGTTGGGTTCCAGGAGTAAGGTGCACTATTTTCTGTTTGCATCACGTAGCTTGACTGTCAGTTGGGTTCCAGGATGTGAACGTGACTTCTCCTTTCTTTGAAAAGGGAAAGGCGCCAACATTCATCGCATTCAAGTGCAAAGTACAGCATGGATTAAAAAAATGAGACCTATCGAAGGGCTAACCCTCGTTGGTTTTTTTTATAGGAGAAACTCCGCGAGCACCGCGCGTCCTAGCCGGGGCTTGAACTCGGGTGGGCTGGCAACTACCCCAGCTGCCCAGCCAACAGGTCGACGCCCCGTCCTCATACAGCATGGATTACGTAGCCCTCCAACCTTGCATGGTACAGTTTCTGCAAAAATGGAAAGGGCCTATCTCCATGAGTCGAATTGATCAAAAATATAATGTCAGGTGCAAAAGATCTGTTCGGAACCTGACGAGCAAAATTACGAGCCACTCTGTTGACATCTCTAGAAATGTGGTACACAGCTTTGATTATCTGAGCAGATTTTTGAACAGGTGACATTTTCAAATTGTCGGAGAGGAATGTGACTCGCTGAAGATGGTAGTGTTGTAGCTAGCTGTGCTGCAAGTAGCATTGCGTCAGCCTGAATCATGGTCATTGCCTGGAGTAGTTCCATCGCCGGCGCTGGTGTGGATGCATACTCCCGCACCTGTAGCCTGTTGACCTTCTTGTCCAGGGATCTTCTTGCTTTGCCAGGAAGCGTCAGTGTAGATCTTTGGTCATGTGATGAGAAGATCAGACTTGAGGGTAGAACCCTGGGCATGGCAGGAAGGGAGGATGTTTGTCTTTCGTGATAAAGGACGAGTCAGAGATTTGTTTCTGGGAAGACATCTGGCTAGGCAATGCCAGTCTCGAGAACAATTACCAGCCTTGTACATCATTGCTTGCGAGAAGAATAATACTATTGCGCAGGTGCTCAGTTCATCCCCACCGAATATTTCGTTCAGACGGGATTTGGTTCGGCCTCGACTTACGTCATGGCATAATCTATTGTCCAGATTGGATTCAATTAACCCGACACAAGGTTGGGATGTGTTTCGCTGGAACTTTACTACATCGGGGTCTTTCACCGTAGACTCCATGTACTGTGCACTCACGCATTCTGAGGCACCGTTGAATAATAATAACTACGGAAGTCGAAGATTCCACTAAAGGTCAAAATCTTCATGCGGTATCTTAGTAGGGGAGTTATTCTAACCAAAGACAAGCCCGCATGGCACAACTGGCAAGGGAGTAAAAAGTGTTGTTTTTGTACTCATGACGAGAAAAACGAACACCTCTTTTTCCAATGCAAGATTGCACTTTCTACATGGTCAGTCATTCAAATAGCCCACATGTGTTGCCAATATTTTTGGTCATTCATTGGATGGTGTTCCAAATAGGTTCAAAACGCTAATAAGGGTGGGAGCTTATGCCTTAATGTGGTTGCTATGGCTATGTAGAAATGATTTGCTTTCTAATGACATAAATGCTTCTCCTCTACAAATTATTTCCGGTGTACGCACTCACTTCATACGTGGCCTACGCTACAGCGAAGGGACTACCAACCGTTGTTCAAGGCGCTATGTACGCGATTGGAACAGGTGGCTATGGAGGATTTTTCCCAACATGGGTGGCGGCATAACCTCCGGATTGACCCACCACCACTTCGACATAAGCATAGTGTCGGTCTATAGGACTCTAGTATTGCCGTTTTGTCAGTTTTGTTTCTTTTCTTTCGGTCAAACTTTTCAGAATTGGCTGTGTGCTACCTAGTTATGCAGAGGCTTGGTGTTACTCATAATGCTTTATATCTACTTGATGCTACATATTTTAGATAATAAAAACGCCCTTTATCAAAAAACAAAACACAATAGATATAAGGAACAAGCTTTTGAAAAAATCTTCGTATCCATCCGGATTATACTTTACGTACATAAAAATTGTAACTTAGGTTGCATACAAAATATCTTTTTAAAATCTTGATAAATCCAAGACTTGGCATGATCGTCTTGGCCATCTTGGAATAGGTATGTTGACAGAAATTATAAGTAACTAGGTTGGTCATAATACATGAATTAAAAGATTTTCTAAATCATCAAATATTGTATGCACTGCCTGTGCTACCGGGAAATTAATTATATGTCCATCTTACCTTAAAGTTGAAAATGAGAAACTTAATTTTCTAGAAAGAATTCAAGGAGATATGTGTGGTCGAATACAGCCTCTATCTAGACCATTTATGTAGTTCATGGTGCTAATAGATGCATGTACCAGATGGTGACGTGTGTGTGTTTATTATCCACACATAATCATGCCTTTGTCAAATTAATTGCTCAAATTATCAAATTGGAAGAAAATCATCTTGAACACAAAGTAAAAAAAAAGAATGGATAATGCTGTTGAATTTAGTTCACGTGCATTTAATGTTTATTGTATGGCTTTAGGTATCCATCTAGAACGTTCTGCACCCTATATTCATAATGAAAATGGAATGGCTGAATGTTTAGTCAAAAGCGTAAATTAATTGCTAGATCACTATTACAGAATTGCAATTTACCAACCTCTTGTTGGGGATGCAGTTTTACACGCTGCAGATCTGATGCAAGTCAGAGCAACTACTTACCATGAAGTATTTTCCATCTGCAAAGTTCAGGGGAGAAAACTCCTAGAACTAAAACATATTCATTATCCTCTGATAAAAAAATATTGTTCCCTTTCATTATGAGTTTTCCAACAGATTTCTCATACATGTTTGAATGAGGTGATTGGTTACACTAACAATATATCAAGTTCCTATTATTCTACTTATATTTATTTTCACAGGATGTTTGGACAACATAAACGGTGCAAGATCAGAGACTTTTGAAGTTTCAAGATCAAGACAATCAAGAAAATGCAAGACTTTTAAGCTCTCAAGATATGTGAAGATTCTCAATACGATGAAGATTACTAAAAGCGTTGTCCAAGGAGGAGTATTAGGAATCAAATAGCTTAAGATTTAGGCTAATTAGATTACTTAGAATATTGCATTTAGCAGTTAGAATATTGGCCTTGTCCAAACGATGTACATCTCAAACCGTTGCTGCGTCTCTCCCAAATAACGCGAAGCACATGTAACCGATGTTGTAAACACATGTTTAGGACATATAAATACTTCTTTTTTTGAAAAAGAGAATCACCCCGGCCTCTGCATCAAAATGATGCGTGTAGCCCCTTTATTAAAAGAAGTACCTGAGTAGTAAATACCTGGAATCATTCAATAGACTGACCCATTCACTTAACTCTCTCTTTTCTTCTCAAGAAATTCTTCCATGGACAAAGATACATCTCCATTTTATTGCACTTGACGCCACACAAACATTTATATTCACCAAACTTATTCAGCAACACTAATCCACCACGCTTACCATCAAAGATGATAGTGTAGATCTCAAGAGGATAAAGTGCGTCGCGTGAGACGCGCGGAAAGCGACGTCTTCATCCCCTTGACGAAGGTGTTGAGCTCAGTCACGTCGACGCCAGCACAACCCTCCGTGGGTGGCTTCCATTGGAACTCGTGCACGAGCACAGCCAACAAACACTTGATGTTCATCATGGCCAGACCCACGCCAGGGCAGAACCTATGCCCGGTGCCAAACGGCATCATCCTGATCTCCTTGGGACCCGGCAAAGGCCCCACGTCCTCTGCCTCGCCGCCGGGCAGGAACCGCTCAGGTCGGAACTCGTCGGGATCCGTCCATGTCTTGATGTACCTCCCGATGGCTCCCACGGAGACCTGCATGAGCAAGTCGCTGGTTGTTGCTCCGACTCCGAGAAACCCGGCGGCGTCGGCATGGAGGTGGCGCTAGATGAAGGGCACCGTTGGGTGCATCCGGAGGCTCTCGAGCACCACAGCGTTCAGATACGGCATGCCATGGATGAGGCTTCTGGAGCTGGAGACCACAGTACCGCCGGCGCTTTCGACCTCGTCACTCACCTTTTTCTGGACCTCCTGGTCGTTTACAATGTGGGCGAGGGTCCATTCCAGGCATGCTGCGACCATTGATGAAGTCATGTATCTAGGGTAGGGTCATGGACCTGTCCAAGATACCCTCCCCAAGGACATCCTTAAGAATAAACTGCCTTCCAGTCGACCTGGTAGGATTCCACTCGACGGACTCAAAAAGACTCGACCATGAAGACCCACTCGACCACCAGGAGTTCAAGAACCACCCGGTGTCCAAACGGTCTGCAATTAAGTAGTCTTTATGGTCATGATGGCACTTTATGTAGGGCGTTACCAGTAACGCCCGACCTTAATGTACCTTTAACCCTTCACTACGTGGGCCGGCTGGGGTCCTGGCGCACTCTATATAAGCCACCCCCCTCCACAGGTAGGAGGGTTCGCACCTATGTAATTCATACGCATATAATCCAGTCGACCGCCTCCGGGCTCCGAGACGTAGGGTTGTTACTTCCTCCGAGAAGGGCCTGAACTCGTAAAACTCATGCGTATACAACTACTCCATAGCTAGGATCTTGCCTCTCCATACCTACCCCCCATTCTACTGTCAGTCTTAGAACCACGACAGTTGGCGTCCACCGCGGGGCCGGTGTTCTAGCGATTTGTTGGAGAAGTTGGGATTCTTTCGATCTCCTACATCATGGTTTCAGGTGGAGTTTTGGTCGAGGGTCGCGAGATCCGTCTCGGTGCGCTCACGTTCGTCGCCGACGACTCCGCTTGGCTTCAGGAGGCTCCTCTCGACGTCGACGCGCTCCCCGTCCGTGGGGCAACGCACTTTCGCGCGTGTGTTCGCGGCGTCCTCCTGCGGCAACCGTCGACCCAGTATGGGTCGGTTCCTGTGCCATCCTCACTCCCAGTCTCCCGCGGGCGCAAGCGCTCCGGTCGGTCGAGGCTTCGGCGGTGGGTAAGGCATGCGGTGGCTCGCCAGTCAGCCATTCCCCAAGTTGCGGCAATCGAGCCCAATGAATCTCTCTACAGCCTGTTCGATCTGTCGACTGGCTCCGCAGAGACTGCATCCGAGTGCGATAGCAGTGATCCGGCAGCAGAGGTTCTGATGGTCGACGGACCACGCAGTCCTCCTTGATTCCCCCACACTGACGGAGGCAACGGTGGAGGCGATCCGGCGCAAGCTCACGAAGAGTACCAACCCGAGCCCCTCACTTCGCTGCAGAGGGAAGAACTTCGCCGCCGAAACATGGATGCGCTTCACACTCCTATCGTTGGAGAAACCCCCGAGGCTCGTGCCTTGGAGGATGCGCGCTTGGCTAACCTAGCCGAGCGCACTCGAATGGAGAACCTCCAACGAGTTCTTGACGAGCGCACGCGATCACGGGTTCCAGAATCCACTCGACGTCAACTCTTTCCACAACCAACTCAGGTATATCGAACTCCGATTCAGAATTTAGCAGCTGCAGCCCGTATAGCAAAATCGATCCAGCCTTCCCAGTCGGAGGCAGGTAGAGGTTTGCAATAGATCAGAGATTTACTCCGGGCTGCTGGGGATCAAAATTCAGTCGTATCACAGTCACAGAACAGGATTCACAGCAGATCCGTCGCTGCGAATTCAGTCCAGTCGGCCCATAGTCCGAGATCGCCCCCGAGGCGTGAGGAACGTGGAGGCCGGCGCGATGATCAGTACAAGAACCGCGAGCCATATGAGCACCGATTCGATCTTAATGATCGACGTCGAGTGCCTACCCCTCCCCCAAGGGGTGGATCATACGCTCCTCGACAACAAGATGACATACGCCAGCACAGTGTTGGGCAAATTTTTCCAGTCGACCCCAGAGAGCCAGGCTTTGATGCAAGATCCATTATCGTTCAAGGTTTGGTCGACAGGAACAGAGCTCACCGAGAAGGCCATGACAGAGATGTTCCCTCCAGCAGCAGAGTTCATGTCTCAGGGCCGGAGTGTTTTAGCAGGGCCATCAGAGCCGCGGTGATTCCTCCCAACTTCAGGTTGTCGACTGGAGTTAGTAAATTCACCGGTGAGTCCAAGCCTGACACTTGGCTTGAGGACTACCGAGTGGGTGTCCAGATTGGCGGCGGCAACGATGAGGTAGCTATGAAGCACTTGCCTCTTATGTTGGAGGGTTCGGCCAGAGCATGGTTGAATCAGTTAGCACCTAGCAATATTTACACTTGGGAAGATCTTGCCCGAGTGTTTGTCAGGACATTTGAAGGGACTTGCAAGCGACCAGCAGGGTTGACAGAGTTGCAGTCGTGTGTGCAGAAGTCAAATGAAACTTTGAGAGATTACATCCAGAGATGGATCACCTTACATCACACAGTTGAGAATGTGTCTGATCACCAGGCAGTCTGTGCTTTCAAGGAAGGTGTCAAGAATAGAGAGTTGAGTTTGAAACTCGGTCGGACAGGAGATATGACCTTGAGTCAGATGATGGAAATTGCCACCAAGTATGCTAATGGTGAAGAAGAGGATCGACTCCGGAGCGGTAAGTACAAGTCAGCCGCTACTGAAGCCGGCGGAGGGAACTCCAGTCGGAAACAGAAGCGCAAAGCCGAGCTAGTCGCCCCTGGAGAAGCCTTGGCTGTGACCCCAGGAAAGTTCAAGGGGAAACCCAAGGGTCCGTGGAACCCCAAGAAGGTGAAAGACCAAGATGGGAATGATGTGTTGGACTTGCCATGTCACATTCACACGAAGAAATATGAAGAGGGTAAACTCATTTACCCAAAGCATACCACTCGACAATGTCGACTCTTGATTCAACAGTTCCAAGGGAAGCAGCCCAAGGATAAGGAAAAGGAGTCGGACAAACTTGAGGACTAGGAAGATAGTGATGGTAGATACCCCCAGGTCAATTCCACCCTGATGATTTTTGCTGACGTTGAAAGCAAAAGTCGATTGAAAGTTATCAACCGAGAAGTGAACATGGTCGCTCCGGCGACGCCCAATTATCTGAAATGGTCTCAGACCACCATCATATTCGACCAGTCTGATCATCCAACACACATTGCCACCCCTGGGAGGCAAGCGTTGATGGTCGATCCAGTCGTCGAAGGTACTCGACTGACCAAAATTCTGATGGATGGTGGCAGTGGTTTGAACATTTTGTATGCAGAGACGTTGAAAGGGATGGGCATCCCGATGTCCAGACTCAGCACCAGCAACATGAGCTTCCATGGAGTCATTCCTGGAAAGAAGGCTGAGTCACTCGGCCAAATTGCTCTCAATGTGGTTTTCGGTGACAGCAAGAATTTTCGTAAGGAAAAGTTGACCTTTGAGGTCGTGGATTTCCAGAGTGCTTATCACGCTATTCTGGGGAGGCCAGCATATGCGCGTTTCATGGCTCGACCATGTTATGTGTACCTCAAGCTAAAGATGCTAGGTCCCAAAGGTGTGATCACTGTCTCTGGCAATCAGAAAAAGGCAGAAGAGTGTTTTCAGAAAGGCTCTAAGATCGTCGATGCTCAGATGGCAGTGGTCGAGCTGCAGGAATACCAGAAAACTGCAGACCCGAGTATTTGTTGCGAGCCAAGAAGCCCGCTACGGAGTCAGCATGTCAGGACCCCGACTCGATGTCACATCGATCTAGCTGGTAACACCTCATATCACTTTGCGGCCTCACGCACGGTATCCCCACGGGTGTCGTCTTACCTTTTCCCGGGACCGTTTGCGCCTTTTGGCTCACGTATATGATAGTGTCGCTAGCATCCATATGATAAAGAGCCCGGGCTGACATGACTAGTCGTAAACCCAAAGTGGCACAGACTTACAGGGACAGGCATTCATGACCCAGCTTCGAACGTGTCGGTCATCAGCAAGTGGGTCCGGGCTGTAGCACTGGGCTAGCAGGACTCCGGTAAACCGGGCTGTAGCGGGCTAACAGGACTCCGGTACTCAAAGCGTGACATTTCCCCGAAGGGACAGACACAGGAACGAAGAAGGACACATGCCGGCCAGCCTAAGTGTTCCAGAGCAGTAGCAAGCTACCATGGCTCAGCGGTAACACTAGGAGACATTTCCCGGTAAGAGAGGCTACTAAAGATAAACAACTAGATAGTCAGATCCCACACATACCAAGCATTTCAATCATACACACAATATGCTCGATATGTGCAAATACAACGAAGCATCACAACATGACTCTATGACACAAGTACTTTATTTAAGGCTCAGAGAGCCATACATGACATACACAAAGGTACGGGTCTCATGACCCAACATACAAGTCATACAGTCATACAAACCAGCAGCGGAAGTAACTTGTCTGAGTACAGACAACTAGTAAAATAAAAGAGGCTTGGGAAGCCTAGCTATACTACAAGGTCCTTCACAAGCTCAGGGTCACCACCTGGGTCTTTCAGCCTACTCGTTGATGTCAACGTCTACATAGAACCCATCAGAAGGGGTTGCAGCGTCTTCTGTAAAAATGTAAATTATAGCAACATGAGTACAAAGGTACTCAGCAAGACTTACATCAGATCCTACATACATGCTTAGTATCAAGAAGGGTTGGTGGAGTTATTGCAGCAAGCCAGCTTTGACTCTTGGCTAGACTATCCTACGAGACTCCAACTTGAAATGGTTTTGCGCACACGAGTCCACTACTCACCACTTCAATACACCACCGAGGATTCGCCTCCGTCTTCCTACGGAAGAGCCATCCTCGGCACTCACACTTATCTTGAGGCTTTTAACAGTTTCCATTTACTTGTCTATGAACTGTATAGGCAACCAAGTAGTCCTTTACCGCGGACGCGGCTATTCGAATAGATTATGATAACCCTGCAGGGGTGTACTTCTTCATACATGT